TGGGAACTCTAAATTTAAATTCTAATTTTTTTTTAACTTGGACGGAATCTTTTCCTTTGCACTAATTTGGTTCTTTTTTATTTTTTATTTTTTTAATTAGATGATCCATATACATTAACATCATAGTAGAAAGAATGGCTTATCAAATCAAACAATCAATAATCAAATTGTTCTTTGAAAAAGATGAGCATATTTATTGTGTGCCAATATGTATCACATACGAGTCGTAGTTATTAGTTCGAATGTTTGATTTATTACACACATTAAACTCAACAAAATTTAAAATTAGCATACTTCAACAGAGAACATAGTACTAAAAATCCCTTATCGTCTTCTTAAAAAAAAAACCCTCATCAGATCATCGTAAGAATTTGCAGCTGCGTGTGTTGATAATGATTATAAAAAAATAATAAAAAAAAAACTACTTAAAATTACAATTTTTTGTGATACGATCACGATCAAGAAGAAAGTTTAGAATTTTTTGTGATGTTGAAATTAGGGTTTCTTTATAACGGTTGTTTACTTTTATTAGTACGTGGCTATAAAGTTTTCTAACTAAAAAGCCCAAAAACAGATTTTTTTTTTTTAAAAAAAAACCCAAAAATATAAATAAAAAACCCAAAAAAAAAATTGAACTAAACCAATTCAAAATAGATGAATAAAAATAAATAAATAACTTCCTTCCAAATCAATATTTTAGCTAGTTATGGAATTAAATTATATAAATAGCCAATGTTTTGTCACTATTATGAAATTCGCAGCTTGGTTTAAAAAAAAAATTATGTATTTCGTATTATATTAAGGGGATTTTTTTTCACAAGAGTTAAACCAAACTAAAAATAATTATTTAAGGAAGGCAACTAGAATTAGCTGTTTATTCAAAAAAAAAAAAAAAAAAAAAAAAAGACTTTGCTAAGTAGCCATTTTTTTCATTTTTACAGAATAATTCAATTCCTTTTTTTCTTCACTATCTATTTTACAAAATAATAACATAGTATCGAAAATGCATTAGAGTATATATATAGCTGTTGTTAGAATTTTTTAAAAATAATAATTTTTTATAATTAAATGGCTAATTAATTTAAAATTATGTGAGGAAGTTTAGGGAGTTATAGGAAAGTTTAGGGTGTGCACTAACTTTTATGTCAAAAGTTTAGGGAGTTCTACCAATTAACATGTAAATGAAGGTCACAAGAGGTTATAGTGAGTAACTTGCAACTTTTGAAAGTTTAGTGAGCTAACTGTAACTTTTGGCTAAGTTTAGGGAGTAGTTGTGCTCTTTCTCAATTTTGAAAATAGTAAAAAATTTAACCAACTTATACAATATGGAGTACTCTTAAACAGGAGTAATTATATTTAGAAGCCATATAGTTTCTTATAAATCCATAATAATGTTGAAAAAATAAATAGAAAATAACATAGTATAATAATTGTCTTTAAAAAAAAAGTTAATTTTAATTTAAAGTACCACAAAAAATGTAACTATTTTAAAACTAACTACTCGTTTAATTTTTTATTTTAAATTACCATCCCTTAAATTAAATAAATGCTCAGATTACCACCCATTTCAAAAATCCGGTGGATTTTCCGTCTGTAGGCTCCACCTATCACCTATTTTGACCCTTTTGACGGATTTTTCTCTGTTTTTTTTTTAAATACGCTCTCTAAACTTTAATTAACATTTCCTTCACTAAATTCTACCGAATTTTAAAGAGAAAAATGTGAATTGAAGTTAGGAGAGCGTTTTTAAAGAGAAAAATCGGGGGAAAAAATCAGTCAAAAGGGTCAAAATAAGCGTTAGGTCGGGCCCACAGGCGGAAAATCTACCTGATTTTTGAAATGGGTGGTGATATGAGCATTTATTTAATTTAAGGGTGGTAATTTAAAATAAAATATTAAACGGGTGGTTAATACGAAAATGGTTACATTTTTGGGTAGTAATTTAAAAATTTTCCTAAAAAAATATACTCCGTATATATTCCCTCCGTCCCTTAATACAATGTCTCTTTCTCTTTATTATGTGAGTAATAAATGGAGTTAAGCTAAAATACGGTCCCTCAACTTTAGTATTTGTACCATTTTGGTCCCTCATCTTTCAAACGAAATAAATTGGTCCCTCAACCACCCATAACTTACTTTTCCTGTGGAAAAAAGATGAGTCACCAAAGTTTAAGGACCAAAGTGTCCATGTGGCAAAAAATAAAATAATATTTAAAAAAAAGTTTAGGGACCTATCCTAGTAAGCAAAAGTTTAGGGACCATTATTCATTAATTTTTTTTTATTATTTTTTTGTCAATTTTTATTTAAAAGGAATCTTTTAACTGACATTAATTTTTTTTCATCAACATTAATATTTTGGTTATGAGTTGCATTAATAAAACTATTGAATTTCCGGAAAAAAAACCTATAAAATTTTCCACCTTTTCTCACCCCCACATCACCAACAACCTGCCACAAACACACAACCCCATCTCTACCAGTCTGCAGCCTCACCACCGTAATTAATCAACCACGCAACCCAAACCTCCGGTTCGGCCGAACTATATTGCGCATGAGCTTGTATATAATTAATAAAATCAGGAGGCCAAGATTAAATCACAAACACTAGTAGAAAAAAGCAATTAGCCACCGGTTCAAAACCCCCCTATGTGGGCATTTGGGGGGTGGCAATAATCTGATGCAAAAGCCACTGGTTCAAAACCGGTGGCAAAAACAAGGATTGCCACCGGTTAACCGGTGGCAATAAGACTTCCCGCAAATTTTTATTTTTGGGTATTAGGCATTATTGCCATCGGTTAACCGGTGGCAATAATGCCTTAAAAAAAAATTGCATTTTTTTTTGCATTTTTTTCTCTTAAAATGTACTAGAAACATATATATATATGCATAATATACATGAAAAACACATATATTCATCAATAACCAGTAATTGTATACTTTTTAAGAGTGAAAAAACTAAATTAATAATTACAAATAAATTACTCATACAACCCATTCCAATTTACAAGAACTAAATTTATCAAATTACATAAAACAAATGTTTAAAACATCAGCCTAGTCTTCAAAGGATAATATGCATGTGTCTTGATTCCCTGGAGCATTAGTAACTGCATTTCCTGATAATCAAAAGATGTCACACAATGAGTATGGGATTAGGCTAATTAGCCTAATTTCTAAAACTAATCTGTAAAAAAAACAAAAGGACCACCCTAACCCACGACCCACCCACGACCGACGACCCAGAATACACGACCCCCCAACCACCACCACCCGTCACCCCACCCACACCACCAGCTCCAACCCCAACCCAAACCCTCACCCAGACCGCATCCAACCCACCACGACCCATCAACGAAACCAACCACGACCCATCACCCAAACCCACCACGACCCCTGACCGCACCCACAACCAAACCAAAACCCTACCCAACGCCAAACCCACCACGACAGCAACCACAAAAGCAACAAAAACCCTACCCCAAAATCAATTGGAAAAAAAAAACCCAAAATCAATTCGAAAAAACCCCAAAACAATTCAAAAAATCAATTCGAAATAACCCCGAAATCAATTTGAAAAAACCCCAAAATCAATTCGAAAATCAATTAACCCCAAAATCAATTCGAAAAAACCCAAAACCAATTCAAAAAAAACCCAAAATCAATTACCCCATAATCAATTAGAAAAACCCCAAAATCAATTCGAAAAAACCCAAAAAAATTCGAAAATCAATTAACCCAGAACCCCTAACCTCAAATTATTAAACCCAATAACAAGCACTAACCTCGGACTTGGTGGCGGCGGTGGTAAGTGGCGATGGCGGTGGTGGGCAGAAGACAAGAGAGAAGAGAGGTTGGAGAAGAGAGGGGAAAGAAGAAATTAATAAGTAATGAAACCAGAATTAAAGATCTACACAAATGAGGTTTGCTAGAGGAGAGAGACGAAGTGGTTGTAGAGAGGGGAAAGAAGAAGAGAGGGGAAAGAAGAGAAGAGAAGAGAGAGAGGAGAAAGGTCGGAGAGCGAAGGAGGACAGAGACGGAAGAGGAGAGAGAAAAGAGAGGCGTCTAAGAGAGAAGCTAAGGGCTAATTTAGGGTTAGGGTATATAAAGGAGAGCTAAGGAACAAAAGGCCGATTTTTTTTATTTAACAAGGCCACCGGTTTTGAACCGGTGGGATTAATGGTTTACCCACCGGTTCAGTTTGAACCGGTGGCAATACTCTCCCCTCAAAATCCCGCCCATTTTTCCCCCCTTTTTTCCCACCGGTTTTTAAAAACTGGTGGCCTTAAGGCGGTGCCAATATTCTTTTTTCACCTAGTGAAAATAAATCAAAGGCTGGAATTAAAAGATGGTGATTGCTGATGATCGTTAATGAGGTGCAAAGTAGGGAATTGTTTCCCCTATTAGAATAGCCAAATCGAAAGAGAATAGGAGAGGGCTAACCCTTTTAATATATATATATATATATATATATATATATATATATATATATATATATATATATATATATATATATATATATATATATATATCTTTTCATATTCCCTTCTTTCTTTATTTTTCCTTTTCCTATTTCTTTAATTCGAAGTATTTAATTTTTTTTTTGAAAGAAAGTCGGAGTATTTAATTTTTTTTAAGTCATATTTAATTTTCTTCTTTAATTCTTAAGTCATTTTTTTTTAAAAAAAAGTCATTAATATTTTTAAAAAAAAAATTGGGTATGTTTTCTTTCATTTTAATCAAAGTTTGTACATAGTAAATAATAAATATTAGTAGCTGACAAAAAAAATAATAACAATAATGATTTATAATCCCTAAACAAATGCTAACTAAGATAAGTCCCTTAACTTTTGCTTAGTTGGCACCACACATCCCCAAACTTTGCTGACTCATAAGTTCCTCCACCATAAATGGTGAGGCAAGGGTGGTAGAGGGACCAATTTGCCTCATTTAAAAGATGAGGGACCAAATATGCAACTAATGTCATAGTTCAGGGACCGTATTTTAGCTTATCTCGTAATAAATGCTCAAAAGATGCATTGTATTAATTGACAGAGGGAGTATAATTTAATAATTTAAAGTTAAAAAATGAGAAGGTTCCAAAAAAATAAGTAAAAATAAAAATAAAAATATGATGTCAGCAAATGATTTATGCGGAATTTTTTTTACCACAACTTGACATGTGTATAATTTATATAGGAGATGATGTCAGCGGTTATTACTTAAGTTATGTAATATATTTATTTATTCTCTCTCTTTCACAGTTATACTCACTTTTGCTTTTTAAGAATTTTATTCTTTAACCAACCTCACTCTATTGTAAAATAATACTTACCCGTCTTCAAAAAAAAAAAAACAAACAAACCTTACCTCCGTCTTTTTTGTTAACACATGTTTCTTTTTTAGGAAGTTTTTTTAGTTATCTTGTTTCCTTTTGTGTAAGTTTATCATTGTCTCTTTTCCCTTTGTTATGTGTGCTGTGCCTAAATTAAAGGCGTGAATGGAGTATTTAATGCTCCTTGCATTAAACACCTGAAAAGGAATAGTTCGATACGGAATACTTCACCATGATTCTAGAATCCCAAAGATAAAACATCCAGAACAATCCAGAACTTACTCTTTGTCTTTTCTTTTTCTGCACTGATGTTCTTCTAACCTCTTCAACCTTTGAAAGAAGCAATTTTTAACACTTCGGAGAAATTTAGGTACAATTACAAAGCATCATCATTTCGTAACCCTTAAATCCGATTCAATTACAGGTTAGGGTTTTTAATTTTTCATTTTTATTGCTCTTGAATCAATTTATCAACTTTAATTTTTTGGATTGTTGCTATATTTGATTTTCATTTTTGTTTGAATGTTTTAGCTGTAAATTTTATGAAATTTAGGTTTAATTTACAATGTTTCAAGTTAGGTAGTTTGCCAATTGATTGAAATTGAAATTGCATAAAAAAAGTAATTTTTTTTTCTTGTTATTTATGCTAGTTGATAATCCAATTTGTTCAAATTCTTGTTAATTTTAACTTTGGGCCAATTTTATTTGCTATGTTGGTGTGAAATTGGATGAATTTGTGCAATTATTAGGCTACTGTTTGATTAATATTCAGCTGATTAATTATCAATTACCTTGCAGAAAATGAAATGTGTTCGATTATTGCTGAATAATTTAAAGTTCAGGAATTTAATATCGATTTATTCTTGCATTTGTTATGCTAATGTCTCATAATTGAAATGATACTGTAAAATTGAATCATGAATGATTTGCAATTTGTGATTTAAATGTTTGAATTGAGATATTCTTTCATGAAAGACAGAAGAAATTTGTGGTTACATGGGCTTTTGTGCTGTTGAGCCATCTCGATTTTTCGTCTTGTCGCTTTAGTCTTAGGATGGATCATAACTTGGAAAATGATTAAGAACCGAAATTGCAAACTTGAAGAAAGTGTGATTGAAAGATTATTGGCACATTGTTTGGCTAGTTTCTATTTAGCCAATATGAAGATCTTGCTCTGTATCTATTTTAAGCCTTTCGAATTTTCTTGATAAAGCAGTGAACTGAATTAATAAACTGGAGACATTGTGTTATGATTGTCAAGCAAAGATTTGCACTTAAGATAACTATGCATCAGAACTTGTTGGCTTAAAAAAATAAGCATGTTTTTGGTGGTAATAAAGATGCAAATTTGTTATTTTTTGTTAGCCAACTGATTACTCACACACTGCTTTATGGATACAAGAATAGCAGGTAAATAATGTTTGGAGTAGTATTTCCAAACCGAAGTTTCCCGCTTGACATCTCGACCTTTACACAAATTGACACATTCCATTGGGTTCTTGATATGAACCACTTTGTTGGTAAGTTCTCTCTTTCTCACTTTCAACTTTTCTGCTATCTCCTTTATGTATATTATTCGATTCTTCAGCTCATTTATTACTATACTGTACAACTCTGGCAGGAGAAGCATATGATCAAATCAAAGATATGTGTATATTCTTGCTCAACAATCTCACCCTTCCGGCAGACAAAGCCTTAGCTGTATATGTTCAATCCCCTGGGTCAGCTTTTGTGTACTGTGGCGCTGTTACTGTAGCCCGTCCATCTGCTGTTCTCTCTCTCCTCTGGCCGGAGCCTGGAAGCCAAGGCCAATTTCTTACAGCTGACACTGCCCCGCTTTCTGCTAAGATCGGGGTGTCTGTCCAGGACTTGGCGACACTCCCTTCTCTTGATATAGCTGCAGATAAGAAGATTGAGCAAACCGCCCTCAAAGTTGGGGAGAATCTCTTTAATTTCATGCAGTCATTTTGTGGTGTCGATGGTAGCAAATTGATTGTGCCCATGGATATCTTGGATCGGTGGTTCAAGAAGTTCCAGGAGCGTGCTAAGCGTGACCCTGATTACTTGAAGGGTTTTACCTTGTAGCTGAGTTAAACATTGAGGTACTGATGTAGAATTAACTTTTATCATTAATGATAGTATGAGTTTCTGCTTTGTTGTTGTTTCTTGTGTTGTTTTGATTGTATGAACTTTTGATCTTTGTTGTAAAATTACAGCTTCCATCTATGTTTTTATTTATAAAGGCTCTCAATTCATGTTATACCATATTAGATTTATCCTGCAATAACATATATGGAGTTTTAGACTTTTTGGTAGTTTGATTTCTGATGGTCTTGAAGTGAGAAAACTTGTTTGCAGTGAAGAAACTTACTCTTTTTGCATTTTTTTTTGTTCAATGACTTGTGCAACTTTACGGATTTTTCATATATGTACAAGGGTGGCTTGGAACATGGAATATCCGAATATGAATGGTCTTTTGTAATCTGTATGAGGAACGCTCTTATACTTTGTAGAAGCTGAATGCTACGATTCTTAGACCTAGGATCTGCTTTTAAGTGATATCCTTGTCTGATGAAATTTATTCTGTAATTCCTTAATCAAAAAGAGGTATCCAAGATTCTTCCTTTTTTCAAATTCTATTTTAATCTTTGAAACCTTCAGGTATGTCCTTTCCCAGAGGGTAAGCGATCATTAATTTTTCCTATGGGCAAGGATAGTACTAAATCTGCGAATTTTGCAACTTGTTAGGATAGTACTCTTGGGAATTATTATTTTTTGGACGAATTCTTGGGTAATTTTATAACTTGTACATTTCCTAAGATCTTAAAGGTCTTGGGGGGATGTGATTTTGAATGGACTCTACCCTTATTTGGGAATAAAAGCTTTCCGTGTGGTTCATTCGACAATAGGTTGGCCGGTGATCACCTTTGGCGGCTGCCTGATGAAGATGTCACTCCAACACTGATATTAGCCGGGTCCCTGGGATGTATTCAGAGGAGTCAGTGTAGCTGATCTTTCTTAGCATTGCCACACCAAGGTTACATTGACATTTTTAACATGGTCAAGCGATGCCTTGAGTAATTGCCAAAATCTTAAATCTTCCCACCATGGTGCTAATGGATATGCATATCTCATGTTCAACAAGAGAAAAGTTGTCATTATTGTTTACATCTTTTGTCAATAAAATATTTCTACCATTTTTTACAGGAGTAATACATAAACCATTCTCCCTTAAAACAAAATTAGTCTTTTTTTTTTTAAAATCAAAAGACCATATAACTTACCCTATTGGCGTATATATTTTAAAATAAGACTGTCTTACCATCATGCACCTTAAACCCGAAATGCATTGCATAATGATATGTAAACCAAACGACCATATAACTTACTCCATGGCTGTACAAATTTTGAAATTAGACTGCCTTACCATCATGCACCTTAAACTCTAAAACAATTGAAGACTTTTGTCTTTTCTAGAGATCTTTGCTCATTTATTAGTATTTGTATTTGTATTTGTTTATTTCCCAGCCATTTTATAAGATGTACAAGTCTATATTGTCTAGCAAAAGATACACTCAACCCACTACCATTATTAAACTGAAAAGGTGTAGAACCATCGTGTTTGAGGACATTGATGAAAGAGTACACTGCACCGTGTTATTGACTTCATTGTTAAAACTTATTACTATACTAAACTAAGAACATGAGAGGAAACCTTCAGTTTCAAGCATGTAGATTTTATTTGATCTTCTGAGTAAAATTCCAAAACATTTTGTGTGTGAAATGCAAATGCAAAGGAGTGGTAGTGTGACCAACCAACTAATCCTAATGGCACTGATTTGTTTATAAACAATGTTGAATTAGTAAACATAGCTTGATTCAATGGAGATGATGAAATATAACTATATAAGCAAGCGAAAACGTTTGATATTCATCAACATACCACACAGGTAGAGCATTATTTTCCGTTTGTGGTTGTTTTTTTTTACATCGAAAAATTTGATAGGTTAATACTGAATAGGGGGAAAAGAAGGGGAAGAGAGAAAACGCTTTACTATCCAATGGCTGATAGTATCCTCACCAATCTAGCCCAACAATTGGGAGCCCTTGCTTTGGAAGAATACAAAGTGTTAAAGGGTGTGGGAGATGATCTCAAGTCTCTCGAAAAAGAGTTGAGATTCATGAAGAAATTCTGAGGGAAAACAACAAGATCATGAATTAGTGAGGGAGTTGGTGAATCAAATAAAAGAGGTTGCTTTCGAGGCTGAGGATATAACTGAAACTTTCCTCCTGAATGTTGAGACACGCACAACGAAGAAGGACAGCATTTGGGAGGGTCTTACACGGCCAGGGTATGCAATGATGCTCCATGGAGTGGCGAAAAAAATTGATGCTATCAAAGGGGATATCAATGGAATATATGCTAATAAGGAAAAGTATGGGATTGAGATAGGCGAGGGAAGTATGAATCCGCACTTTGAGGCCACCCTTCAAAGGCGGAGAAAGGAGGTTGATGAAGAAATGGTGGGGTTTGTGGACGTGACTAACACCTTGTTAGAGCAGCTCACAGAAGGATCAACTGGATTGGAAATCATTTCGATAGTTGGGATGGGTGGCCTAGGGAAGACGACAATTGCCAAGACGCTATTCAACAACAGGATCATCAAAGACTATTTTAAGAGCCATGCTTGGGTGTCAGTATCCGAAGAATACAACACAATTCAGGTCATCACTGATATCCTTAACAGAGTGGCACCCAACATGAATGGCTTGGAGGATTTGGGAAATGACAAGTTGAAGGAGACACTAGGAGACCACCTCAAGGACAAAAAGTACATAGTCTTTTTGGATGACGTATGGCAACAAAGCATGTGGGATGAAGTAAAGGCTTACTTCCCCAACAACAGAAATGGGAGTAGGATTGTCATCACCACCCGTATTGCTCAAGTGGCTAGGCACGCTAGTCATAGAGAGCCTCATTTTCTCCGATTTTTTTTACCCCAGAGGAGAGATGGGAACTTTTTGAAAAGAATGTGTTTCGAGGGGATCCTTTTCCTTCGAACCTCAAATCCTTAGGGAAGAACATCTTGGAGAGATGTAAGGGTTTACCCTTGTCCATTGTGGTTATAGCAAGTATGTTAGCTATCCAAGAGAAGTCGGAAAGGATATGGGAAAGGACACTTCAAGATGTGAGTGTTCACCTTGGCAAAGATGAAGCATGCCTGGAGATACTGGCTTTAAGTTACCATAATTTACCAGTAGAGTTAAAACCATGCTTTCTCTATTTTGCCGTCTTTTCTGAGGATCATGAAATGTCTATTCGAAGGCTGATCGCCTTATGGCTGGCTGAGGGGTTCAAACAGCCACTTGGAGAGCTGACTCTGGAGGAGGTGGCTGAGAGTTACCTTGATGCCCTTATTGATCGAAGTTTGGTCCAAGGTGGAACTTTGAGAGCAAATGGAGGACTCAAGACTTGTCGCATTCATGATCTAATACGAGATCTTTGCATCAGAGAAGCTAGAGGAGAAAACTTCATGTGGGCAGCTTCTAAGATCAATAATCCCTCCTCCGGTCTTAAACAAAAGCAAGCCAAGAAGGTTGTCAGTCCATCGCCACACAGCACGTACAATTCTATCAAAAGAATGGGAGCCTTCTTCTATACGAGCATTCTTATCCTTTGAATCCCAAATTACTTATTTGAGCTCAGCATTCTTGAAGAAGTTGAACACCGAATACAAGCTGCTAAGAGTCTTGGACTTGGGATTAGCCATTAAAATTGAAACTATGCCAAACGACATCAGTCGTCTCTTCAATTTAAGGTACTTTAGGTTTTTTCTTGACAATCCTAACATTCCATATGCAATATATTATCTTCGAAACCTCCAAATTCTTTTTGTAGAGGGTAATGCATCACATAATATTTCTATGGGATCGCTACTAGAGCTACAAAAGTTGCAGCAACTCATCTTAGGAAACAGTATTACTAGGCTATATGGTAACCCAACAACTATGCTACCCAAGATGCAACTCAATAACCTCCGAGCCTTAACTTCTATTTACCCTGATAGTGTTTTCGAATGTGCTATAATTAATGGACTTTGTCCAAATCTTAGAAAACTCTCGGTATGTTGTTCCCAAGACCATGAATGGTCAATAAAGAACTTCCTAGCAAGTTTACATCATCTCCAATCTTTGAAAATATCCTTCTTAGATGCCTTTCATAACAAAATTATATTCAAAGGTGTTAGTGAAGCCGAACTTCCATTATCCCTCACCAAGATTACATTGAAATTGTCCGGATGGTTAGAGGATGTCCTACATATGCTTGGCAAGTTTCCCAACCTTCGCATCCTTAAACTAGTTGATGTGAATTATTCCGGCCTTACTATAAGAGAAGGTTCATTCCCAAGACTTCATACCCTCCATTTGGACAATCTTCGTGGAGGGAAAGTGATAGTGCATCATGCTACACTTCATGGCCAAGCAAAGTATGGATGTACACAACTGCGCCATCTCTATGTTAAAAGATGTACTTGTATGTTTGATAAGTATCTATTCATGTTGCCTAGCCTTAGAGATGTTGAAGTTTTGTGGCCAGACCCTTCTCTGGCACAAAAGTTGGAGGAAGTAAAACAAGAAAACAAAAATAAGCCATATTATAGGCTTCTAGTCTACAAAGGTGAATAACATCACCAATGTTTGTTTGTTCAAGGATTGTACGCTGTCGACATTACCAAAATAATATGTATCCATGATAGTTTGTAATTTGCAATTTGCAAAATTCATAATTCATTATGTAGAATTTGAAACCTACTCTTAAATATACGAGTTTTTAAAATTGAAATGTTGCTAAATTTTTCAAATTAGGCGTCCAATTCATGTTTGAGTTAAATTTGGTCTATGATCACGAGTTGAGATGTGTTCAACGTCGTTCACGTGGATTAAATTCGAGATCAGGTTACTTTGAGTTTGAACATTTCAAGTCTAAGGAATTCTTTTTCTTACAAGATTTTGGACAGCTCTATTGATACTATAAGTAAATGAGCAAGCATATATATTATATACTATGTACTTTTAATATTGATTGATAATAAGGTTATAAATGATTAAATGGCCATTTACACTAATTGGGCCTGGAAGCATGCCTCCAAAGTGAGATAAGATCTGCCATGCTAATTAATTATGGGTCTACTGGACTTGTACAGTAGTTGTACCATTCATCCTAAATTAATTATGCTAATTATCTCCATATGTGTTACGACCTATGTATGGTTGGCATAATGGCGTCTATTGTCAACTTGCACCATTCCTCCTAAATAAATCATCATATAAGCAAATTGTATCGGCAAATCACTAAAATCACTTAATTCTACAACCGAAAAATGTATAGTATGTGACTGTTATTTTCAAATGGAAAGAGTCGATTAGAATATAGAGAAAAACGAAACCAAAGATAAACTTAAATTAAGCTTGCACCATGTATGAGTCATCTTTTGGCTGGCTCAATCTACCACGTCATTATTTGTGGTCATGGTTTATCATTTGCCAAGTCAGAAGACCCAGAACATCTTAGTTTTAGTCCGTACTATTCATTTTTTACATCAAACATACTGTTTCCGTATATATCATCTATTTGACTTTTAGAACTCGAACTATAGAGGATAAGATTTATCATGACTTCAAGATGATTTATATAGAGAACTATCACTTTACCAACCAAACCTAATTTATAAATACATACTCTTAACAATTAACCTAATGTTTGAAATATGGACATTAAATGTAACAAGTCGGTTGGAATTGCTTGTTCTAATAAATGTATATAAGGTAGCTGGGTTATATATTTAAAAGGAATAATAAAATATCATAATATCTTGCGTGGACTTAAAGTTTATATACACATAACTGACATTATACTCAACATAGTGACCCTAATTTTAATATAATAACCTTATTTTTAACATAATAACCTTTTTTAAAACTTGTGTGACCTTTAATATTATTATGAACTTATAGTACGATATTATGTTAAATAACGATCTAATTTTAACATAGTGATCTTTATTATTCTTATCAACCATTATATCAAAAATTTCATTAAAATAATTAACCTCTTATAACTTATATAATGTCACACTAACTTTTATGTCAACATAATAACCTTTATTTTAATATAGTGACTTTTTTTTTTAATTAATAAAACAATCATATTGTCTCTAATGTTGGTGATCCACAATAAATTAACTAGTGTAAACCAGGTTCATTTAAGAAGTTGTAATAAAATATATTGTATGTAATATAATTAAGTGACTGATTGACCTTACAATTAAGATTATATTGAATTTTTGTTGGTAAGAATTGATTTTAACCACCATAGGGTCAAGCTCTAGGAATGGTCTTTAATAAGCACATACGGGCGATGGAAAACTGTTGATATTGGCATGATTGAAGCACATCATAAATGACTCATGAGCACAAGTTAGACACAATCACACAACCCGATTGACGGCACAATGTACTATACACGTTAAGTTATAAAGGTCGTGTACTCGTGTGTAAAATCGTCGATACAAGTTTATAGCATAACACGAGGGGATTGTCTATACAAGTTTATAACACAACACGAAATACAACTTGGTGCAAGTTGTCACGAAATTTTAAGTATAAGAATAACATGGGCACACGCCATAACATACATATTACATATGTGATAGATATATGGGTTGTGTTGTGCCTATTAGCCTATTGGCACGGAGCATAAGTATGTAACTATTCGCATATACGCTCTCATGAAATTCGACATATGTAGCTATCAAAGAGTCCTTGGTGCTGCACTAAAGTAGCAAGTACCAGTAGTTCATAATTTATGATTTTCGATAATATCCAATGTATTGTAATGACATGGAGAAGCATCATGTAGAAATTCCATCTATTAAATGACAAAGCTATTTTTAAAACGAAAATGATGGATCATATCGACTAAGTTCCAAGACTTCCAACTAAATAGACGTGTATATTATAGTCTAACGCAATCAATTGGTTACTACTACATTGTTTATCCAATTGCCTACTACAAATATTATTTTCAATAATTTATTATAAATTGACTCAACAAAATATAATATCTCATAGACCTTAGACTAAATATTTGAAAAGTATTTATAAAGGGCGAAAAGAACTATACGTAAAGATGGGGAGAATCAACATGAAATATGTCATGCTAATAAAGAACATCTTCACACTTCATGTTTAGTGTATTTTACGGTCATTCCATTAGTTCTAATTGCATATCTTAATCACGCCGACAAATCCTTATCATTAGCTGGCTGAGATTTTAGCTTGATCGATTAGAAAATTAGAACCGCTATATTAATAACCAATTAACCATTTAATATTACAGAGTATCTTAGAGAATATTCTTCTCATAAGTTTAGGATTTTTAATTATGCACGGAGTAATACGTTGTTTCGTATCATATTAAAATTAACAAGTTTTCTAACATTGGCCTTGTTTGGCAAATAGCTGTTGGCGGTTGGCTGGTTCACTTGGCTTGTTTGACCAGCTGGAATGTTTGGCTGTTTATAATGGCTTTTGAAATTGACTGCTGTTTAAGCTGGCTGTTTATAAAAATGTTTGGTAAATTAATTGTCGGTTGTTGGTTGTTGGCTATTTATTAGATAATTTGTGGGACAACAAGAAGAAAAAAAAAAACAAAAAAAAGCTACTCAAAGCAGCTTTTTCATTTTGGCTTAAAAGCAAGCTTTTTCGCTGACTAAAAAACCTATTACCAAACACATTTCTTGGCTGTTTGACCACCTAAAAAAGCCAAAAGCCAAAAGCTAACCAAAAAGCCATTAAAAAGCAAATTACCAAACATGTCCATTATTAAATTGTCTACATTATTATAACACCTGTATAGATTGATTAATGGCAAACATTTCAATTTTAGATGGTTTCTTGTAATATTACATGGTATCACAAACAAGTCTTAAATGTCATTCGTTCATCAAATTTCTCTATTATATATAGCGTGGGATATGTAAATAATTAATAATCATTGTGTGGAGTAGCTTAGTTGACTAGCTAGTTGTCAATTAAAATGCCAAAAACTATTATCTTGACTACAAATAAAATAATTCAAGTCGTTTATCTACGATAACATTATTTGATGTTTTTACTGAGTTGAACTGAACTAAACTGATTGGAGCTGAATTGAACTGAGCTGAAATGAATATTTTATAAGAGAAGGAAATTAAGAACTGAACTAAACTGAACTGATTGGAGCTGAACTGAACTGAACTAATTAGAGCTGAACTGAACTGAACTAAAATGAAGTAAATGTGAACCGGCCCTAAGTATGTCATTACGTGCAGATTTACTAATGTATATTTTTAAAGAAAATTTACTAAAATCATATGCTAATTAATAAACATCGTAATATTACTTTACATATTACGAGTATGAATATACTATCCTTAGATATCCTCTATTATATATCTCGAATTGATTATTCTAACAAGATCTCATACCATGTTACTAAGGGCCTGTTCTCATAGACCGAACTGAGCTGAGCTGAACTGAATTGAAATGAATATTTTATAAGAGAAGGAAACTAAGAGTTGAACTGAACTGAGCTGAAAATAAATATATGAGAATAGGCCCTAACTAATATTTTTTCATAGACAAATATCTCATCATATGATTACAAGATAAAGTGTATGTGAACACAATACTATAGAGTGTAATAGAAAATGTCAGAGAAAGTAAGATCGACTTGGGTTTACTGAATTGAATATGATGAAAATGGTTGACTATAGTAGTTGACAATATGCTCAAGTTACATCTAGCCTCGATAATTGTGAATGGTTGACTATTTGGCAAGCTAAGTGAATTATTGAAAATAAAACGTTGACAATCTCCCATGAACATTAATAATATTGTACGTGGTAGCATGTTATAATGAATTGATGAACTGACTAATTAAGAATATTTTTATTAAATAATACATTAATTAATATATACTCTGTACTCTACAAGTTATGGGAGTAGAGTCCAATACGTAATAATAAGTTGATAGATTTATAGTATACACACAAGTTCAAATACTAAGGCTAATCCTAGATCTTCAAGTTAAGTTTTAAATTAAAAAGTTTATATAAGCTTGACTAATTAATGAGTTCATACAAGCTTAAGGTTTTATGAGTCAAAATAATAGCTAATTATTCATCACCGGCAATATATTTTATGTTTGTATTGTTACCATTTTCATTTCTTTGATTTAGAGCTACATGTAAAGAGCTTTTAGCTTTTGAATTAACATCATTTTGATAAACATAGTAAATAAAACAATATACTTATTTAATTATGAGAATGTTATTAATCAATAATGGTGAATTTCAAACTTTTTTACGTAGCTAATGACTAGGACGATTAAGTTGGAATAATGCAAATACAAACAAGAAGTAGGCTTAATGAGCAGGGTTTACGGAGATTAAAGAGTAATTTAATTAACTTTTCTTGGCAAAGGTTCTTTGAATCAACTTATTAGAGTTTCCATATCACCTCTTAAAAGTCTCAACAATATACTTTCAAATAATATCAAATCTTCCATACCATGCATCAAATGAAAATGAAAACACATGTATAAATATTGTCCTTAATTTTAGTAGATACTTATATATCATTTGCAATAAATCTAAGTTATTCTATAATATGTCTTGACTCATCAACCAAATTAAACTCTAACATAAAGTTAAATCATACACAATACTGGATTTTACTATTTTAAAATAAAAAGTAACACTAGTAGAAAAAGGCTCATTTGCGTCGCCATATTTGCGTCACTCATTCTAAAGAACGAAGCAAATGTGTATTTTTACCATACTTTAAAGTTATTTGCGTCGCTTGTTATTAAAGAAGCGACGCAAAAAACAAGTGTATGTTAGCTTTCTATCATTTACGTCGCTCATATTTATTGAAGCGACACAAATAATAAACTTATTTGCGTCACTCATTTACTGACAAGCGACGCAAATAAGGCAGTGAATAAATTGCGTCACCCTTTTAATAAATGAGCGACGCAAATAACAAATTTTCAGCATTTCAGATTTTGTTATTTGCGTCGCATTTTTATTATAAAGTGACGCAAATAACTCTGTTGCACTTTAGGTTACCCATTCTGCGCTTTTTTGACCTTAGCTTTTCACTTGCACTAATTCACTAAACAGAGTTGCTTAATTTCGACCCTTCAATCCAACAAATTCGCCCAAAAAACACCCACAAATTCGCCCAAAAAACTGCAATTCCCCAGCAAATTCAACATCCAAAATCGCAATCAAGTTCAACACCCATAATCGGCAGCAAATCCGAGCAATTTCGAGCAAAAATTTAGACCAAAAACCCTAATTAATTCGAACCCTTAAACCCCAGAAAAATTGATTATTTTCGACCAAAAATCCCCCATTTCGAGCAAAAAATGTACTCAATTCCATACGAATTCGAACCCTAGAAACCCCAAAAAAATTCAATTAAAAATCCTGCTGAAAAAATTCGAGCAATAACTGATATTTTCGAGTGGAAAAATCGCTTAATTTCGCCCCCAAAAACCCGAGGAAGTTCAAGCAAATTACAGCAATGTTGAATTTTTGAATTTTCGAGTGGAAAAATCGCTTAATTTCGCCCCCAAAAATCGATTTCGGCTCGACATTGTTGAATTTTAGAATCAATTTCACCTATGGTAAGATTGCTTCTATTTATGTTCAATCTTTTCATGGTAGATAGAATGTAGCATTTAACTTGAACAATGACTTAGTTTAATTTCAGGTTTAGTGTTAGTTCACTAATTAGAATTTATATGGCAGATTTAATTGAATTTTTATAATTTTCAGTCATTGAATTTTCATTTGAGCATATTGCATACTTGTGAATTTCAGTCATTGAATTTTTGAAGTCAATTTTCATCTGAGCATATTGCATAGTCATTGAATTTATATGGCTGTTTTGCAATATACTACTGGTTGCTTGTTTGCATCTTTGAACTTTAAGAATCTTGCTGTCAAATGTGGAACTTAGTTCATGTATCTGGCAATTATATAATTGCTGTTCAGGTGCTTGTCTCTTCTGCTTTTACTTGTTGTGGTGTATGATTAATGTTTAAATGTTGGTGGTCTTACATATTTTACTGAATACAGATTTATTTTCTCCATGTAGGCATTTCTTGTCACTTATACAATTTAGTTGCTGATTTAGTGGCTTTATGTTATTTGATTTGTTGAAAATCTCTTCCTAGATCCATTATTTAGCCATTTCTTGTGTTATGGAAGGGCAGCAGCAGTTCAGTTATGTGTTTGGGGAATATTGAGATAGATGGGGTATTGTTAGTCATGATGCATATTTTGAGGAAGGTGTTTGGGTTGGGTGTACTTTTATATGTCATGATACATGACAAGAAATTGAACTCTGTTATTCATTTATTGGCTTTAAAGAGCAAAGAGATTATGCTTGCCGTGTTACTTCTCCCACTATTTTCTTACAGCTGTAGAATAGCATAGTCATTTGAGCATATTGCATAGTCCCTGAAAACGGATACCGGCATACCCAAGCCTAAATAGCATAGTCAATAACGCATGAATAAATTGTTAAGTTTGCAATTTAAGCCAGTAGTAACTTTTAAAAACTAAAAAACCGAGAAGGTGTTGCATGATAAGCCAGGCCTCTAGCTTATGTCCTAATAGAGAAGTGATATTGTAATTGGAATGCTAGGCTTAATCATCTGGGATCTTTTCAATATTATGTACGGTATAATTATGGAGCAAATATTGAACTTTTTCTCTTTGGGTCTTTGACCTTTAGAAGTAGGCTGATACTTGTGAAGGTATCACAGCCTCACAGGTTATGTACTCAACCTTAGTTTTTCTCTGGCGTGTAGGAAATTGTCTTTTACTTTCTCTATGTAGTTTAGTTAAGTAAGGAGCTCATTATTACTTCATGTTATTGGCGTAGGAGTGCAGTCAACTTGACATAGTTGTTCACCTGCAAAGCCTGCTTTTATGCGATCTGTTCTTCCACCCAGTGAAATACTATTGCACTGTTCAAAGCCTGGATACAATTTGCGGTAAAAAAATTTTGGGGCTTTTTTTTTTTTTTTTTTTGAAATACCATGGTTTCTTTGAAGTTTCAAACTTCAAACTAAAGTAATTTAATAGATTGTGTTCTTTTACTATGCATAATTGTTAGTGCTCCATTTGTTCTGCAAATTTGTTAGCATTTAGTCGGTAGATTTTTACAGTTGCTGTTTTGCAATATACTACGGGTTGACATCTATGATTCTTTGAATGTCTTATTAAAATTATTTTTTATCATTTAATTTTTTTGTAGGCATCATCATAATGGGCGATGGGAAGCACGAATTGGGCGCGTTATATGTACGAAATACTTGAACATCATCATAGCAGTGAAGATCTTATTCAGGTATGAGTTGTCAAATATTTCATTTTTGTTTGATAAATACAATTTGATGTTAGCTACAATCTTGAATTAAAACTTTCCTCTTGTATATTTGTTGTGTTGATAGGATTTTTCAAGAACTACACCGTACACCGAGGAGGAGATAAATGAGATTCGAGATATTTGGGCAGAATATTTTATATGTAATGTTGAACTTTAGATTTACCACTTAGCGCATGTTTGACTCTTGTTTTGGATTATAGGCTTGAAATGAAGTAATTTGGTTAATTGGTGTTGGGATGATGAGTATAATGTCTATGATATTGAGATGTAAATTATTGGACAGGTTGTTAATATAATGCCGTCATTCCCAATTTTATGGGTAGGCCAAATTACAAAGGAGACTCTGCCGAAATTTACATTTGCATTATTCAATAATATTGCATTTTAATTTCAATTATATTAGCGTTAGCATATTACTTTATACCTAGGAAAACAGGTACTACAAACATATACAAGGCAATTATTATATTATAATTAAAAAAAAATAAAAAATTCACCTCATTTGCGTCACTCATTAAACAAACAAGTGACGCAAATACAGCTGTTTTTGTATTGTCTACTCAGTCATTTGCGTCACTCCTATATAAACAAGTGACGCAAATAACAAAACATAAGTTTATTGGAAGAGTTATTTGCGTCGCTTGTTTATAAAGGGGCGACGCAAATAACAAAAAAGTTTATCTTAAGAGTCATTTGCGTCGCTTGTTAATAAAGAAGCGACGCAAATAACTAAAAATATTTATCAGGATAGTCATTTGCGTCGCTCTTTTATAAAGGAGTGACGCAAATAACAAAAAATAAGTTTATTTAAAGAGTTATTTGCGTCGCTCCTTTATAAAAGAGTGACGCAAATAACAAGTTTATCAGAAGAGTTATTTGCGTCGCTCTTTTATAAAGGAGTGACGCAAATAACAAAACATAAGTTTATCAGAAGAGTTATTTGCGTCGCTCCTTTATTAAAGAGTGACGCAAATAACAAAAAATAAGGTTATAAGAAGAGTCATTTGCGTCGCTTATTTATAAAGGAGCGATGCAAATGACAACGCAAATGACTCTTATTTGCGTCGCGAGCAGTTGCGTCGCTCATAAAAGCGACGCAAATACACTATAAATGAGCGACGCAAATAAGCCTTTTTTCTACTAGTGTAACAATGCTAATTACACTGTGCATGATCAATTTGTTTTACTACCATGTCACGTATTCTTGGCCTAATTAAGACAAACTAAACATAGTTTGTTATACGATGAGTATTAGTCAATCAAATATTACTCAATTTGGATAATTGGATACCAAATAAACTAAAACATATCCATAAAGATCCATACGTTGGCTTCCAAAAAACAAACATGAGAAGATCAGATATATAGTGATCTCATAGAGCTACCAATTCTTAAGCAAACCCATATTGGACCAATCTTTCGTATAACACAAGATATTTATGTATGAAATATACAAAGAATACATTAATAAATTTGGCAAGTTGGTTAGTTACGTGTGGCTTGAAGTGCATAAAAGTATATAACTAAATCTAAGTGTGACTTTTGCATCTTATAAATCTTGAAAGTCAGCTTAGAAAAAACTTGAAAGAACGCTTTCATTAGGTAAGAGTGTGACAGTTCTATGTATCGACATCAAATAACATGAATACATGATTATGATTAATAATATATAACAGTAAAGTACTAATAATCTCAAGGCATGTACAATTTCTTACCAAGACATTGGGGCTTTAAGAAGAAATGCTTGTACTTGCTTCCCCTTAACATTGTCAATAAGATTCGAACTCCAAACCAATATGTATTACGGAGTATTTTTTTATTATACATTGTTCCTCGATCGTTGTACCAAAAACATTGAATTGTATCTAGTTTGAGACCTTCCAAAAGTTCCAATTTCAGGGGCTCTCTACAGTAGCACACTTTGCACACCCGCCTTAATATTGTCATAGACACTTGACGATTTTCTGACTATTAAAGGGTGTTTTGTAGTAAAGTTAAATAATACTTCCTCCATTTTTTTTAGTTGACACCGTTTAACTTTTACACTATTCACACAACACGCTTTGACTCGCTTTTGTGGTTTATATATACGATAAAACATATTTCGTGGGATCTTGTTTGAATCTTTTCAATGTATATTTTATTAATATCCACTTTTTATAATTATACAATATTGATAATTAGAGATATTAATAATCGTTTAAAACATACGTTGGCAACGTGATAATAGAAAAATGTTAATTATTATATTATAAAAAATATATTATACATAGTACTTAACTAAAATATTGATATCCCTACCATTAAAAAAAATATAAAAACATCCCTATCTTATAAAGCCCGACCAATAAAAAAAAGCTTTCCGAACATAGCTAGCTACAAGGTGGATCACCCTAGTTTAGCCACCTAGTAGAGTAGTAGCATATAAAAATGATTGGCACGGTTGTCCTATACTATACCTCATAATAGTAATTAATAATCTTATGATCATATAAATAAGGTGATAATTCTGATAAGAGAATTCATTCATATTTCATAGCTTAAAAAAAACAAAAATGATAAGAGGCTGGGATTAGTAGGAAATAGCTGGCATGCAGCAATATAACTATAAAAGAGGGCCCCTCCAACAAGAAGAACAACTGTCGATTATCGTGGTTGAGTAAGATAATGCAGTAATAAGTTGCCTTCTTTTCAAAGTTTTATAAAAGCAACAAAAATCCAACTGTTTTATTAGTGTTTTTTTCACGCTGATGGTAACAACCATTTATATTTTGTGCAGTTATTTTGGTTGGTTTGTATAGTCAGGGACTGAGGGTGAAATTAAGCCAATGTGAATTTTCACCTAATGTTATTATTATCCTATTAGGACTTGTTTTTTTCAGTTTAATTTCAGTTTAGTTCAGCTCCAATCAGTTCAGCTCCTAATTTTCTTCTCTCTTAAACAATTCATTTCAGCTCTATTTAGTCGTTTAGTTCAGTTTATTTCAGCTCCAATCACTTCAGTTCAAATCAGTTCAGTAAATCAGAACAGACTCATAGATACCAATATTTTGTTGTTCTTGGATGGAGAAATGAACATGTCATTGATCCCCTCTTTAGGTTTGATACTAATTTTGAACTACATACAAACGATAATTATCTAAAATTTCTAACGCATTTTAGTATCTTATATGGGCATGTTCTCATACGTTGAAATTCAGTTCAGTTCATTTCAGCTCCTAATTTCCTTCTCTTATAAAATATTCATTTCAGTTTAGTTCAATTTAGTTCAGCTCAGTTCAGTTCAGTTCAGCTCAGCTTAGTTCAGTTCAGTCAATGAAAACAGGATAATACTTCAAATCATACATTAAATCAAACAAAATAGATTAGGACTAAAAAAATCAAACTATAGCACCGTAGCTTATATTTTGTATTACATGAAGAGAACATAGTAATTCTATCCCCACGATTTTGAACATTTTTATTTGATTTTTCTATTCGCTTGATATTTATTTATCTTATTTTATTTGAACTTATTAGACTTTATTTATCTTACTCTCTCCGTTACATATTACTCGCAATAGTGAAATATTTTATATCTCACAATAATACCCCTTTATTACAAGTAATTCGTAACAGAAGAAGTATTTTGTTCTAATATTTGCATAAAGGAGAATGGACAAAATTAAATAGGATCCATGCTTACTTGGGAGTATATGGCATAAGAGAATACCAAAGAATGTGGCGTCTGGCACTCCACGTTGCCAATTGGCAATTGTTTGTACATACAAATGGTACAATTATACAAATACTTTAGTCCTAGTATTGTTAATATTTTCATTTGATTTTCCAACATGTTACTATTTAGTTGTCCGGGTGACCAATTTGTGATTTCTTACCAATTTGATGTAACCAACACTCACATCACACCCACATGCCCTTAAATATCATCCCACGTGCTTTGCCAACCATCCATTTTCTCCTCATATTTTATTAGTATTATTTTCTACAAGTATAACAATAACAAAATTAAACAAAATTAAACAAAATTAAATATTTAAACCCCATTTTCTGAGTTTTTCCATTACTCATATGGTCCATAGATAAAGACACCAATAAACCACAGCTCCATACATCACCATATCTACCATCCTTATTATGTATAAAGACTCAATTACCCTCCATCACTCAGCAAATCGTTATCGCCCCGGCCATTCAACTATATCTTATTCCTACTTTAGTTTTCACAAATAAAGTTTCGACATGGCAAAAATTGACGGGCCTTGTATAAATTTAGGACATGTTTTATTCATCTGTTTTTTACTTATTTGACCTTGCATACAATACTATTATACCAGGATTTATTAGAGCTTTGGTTAACTCTTATTACAAATTTCTTAAACTTATCATACTTGAACTTAACTAGACTTATTTGTAATTTGACTGATACCCTTCGTAACTCTTATTACAAGTTTCTTAACTTATCATACTTTAAATAAAGTGAACAATACAGGCCTTCATTGGTTCAAATCTATTCTCTATTTGTAATTTGACTGATACCCTTTTGGGCGGTTGTGACCGACTTGGACCAAAAACAAAACAATTTCAAATTTAATTTGGTTTGAACAAAATCTGTATTTTTCACAAAATTTGGATAACGCTTTACACTCACTCTTTCATGTCTACTTCTACATTCTCACGAAATTTGTTATGTCATTCTCCTTCTAAAAAATTTGTGTCGAAATCATGCGTGACAACTAAATCAAGACGAAAGAGTGTAACGCAATTTGGGAAACCAGAAGTGTCACCACCATCACAAAAACTTGCCATAATGAGTAATTGACTAAACTACCCTTTTCACTCAAAAAAAATGGCTGGTTAATAAAAATACTGAGGTAGAAAAAAGCTGCAGTTGTCCTTGTTCTTCTTCCATTCATGTCGGTGGCGCAGCAGATCAAGATCACAAAGCAGAATATAATGTGACAAAACCATAACTACCACTTAATATAGTAATTTTCTACATAAAGTAAAAACATCCAAATAAATAATTACCCAAAATAATACAGTAATACTAATTCTTTTTTTTTTTTTATTTTTTTTTTTGCAACGAAAAACGGTCCGTAATTAGCAACCATATAATAGTATAAATTCTAACAGATCATCATCATCCATAATTATCATCATTATCATAATTCATCACCAATAATACCATAAACCCACTTTACAGTTTTACACAACCACCTCATCAGACTAATACCCCGTCTGATACAAGAATTTACGTTAACACGAACTTGACTAACAACACGTCAACACCTAGACTGACCGTCACAACGTCAAGTTAAATGGAACTAATACCTCATCTGACCATCAGACCGTCTTATACATGAATTTGCGTTAATCCAGAGTCTTTACGAC